CTCCAGGTTGAGCTGTTGTTCAGCATCTTAGCTGTGGAGGGCAGTGTCACTGGCCCTCATATGTGGGATCCGAACCGGGGCCCTTTGGCATCCCAAGCGAGCTCTCAACCATCGCGCCACTCGGCCGGCCCTAATTGCTCTGTTTAGACTTTATCTTTTCATCATAAGAGTAAGTACTACATCTGTCCTAGATGGTAAACTGCCTAAATTTTAGACAGCTAAGCGTTACTTCTAGCTGTAACATAAAGCCTTTAGTATCCAATCACAATTCTAATTTCACATGCAACTTCTTCCACTACTTCTAGAGAGCCTTAAGAATCCACACATCAAATGGCAAATGCATTAGGACAAGCAAATTAAAACATTCACTGCTGGAAAGAAAAAACTAAGGGTCTACTACTTACTTGGCAGCTTGTTCATTAAGTATCTTTAAGTAATGCTCCACTGGACTGAGGAGTTCAGGAATTTCTAAAATAAATGTCTGGAGCAAATCTGACTGAACGTGGGAATTAACAGCAGGTATTAATGCTTGAAATTCTGACTTCAGGTGATAAAGGGTTTTGACAATCAAGAAGAACTCTTGGGTAGAACACTGAAAATAGAAATATTTATTACTCAAATAGCATTCAATACGTGAAAATAAAATTTAATTAGTGATCTTTTTGAAGTTAGAATCAGAATAAAAGAAAATTTTAATTTATTCTATAAACTAGTTAATTGTAATAAAGTAATGTTGATACCTTCTAATTGTTAAATCAACAGTTTAAACACTTTATAAAATAATAATTTAAAGCTATAAGGTAAATTATTTGAGAGATAGTAAAGCCAATACTTGCTCATTGCCCATATTTTTTCATTTTAAAATATATTGACCATATAGCAAAAATACAGTAAACAGTGTCAAAAATATAAAGGACAATTCTGGGGAAATATCTGACACATGAGAGATAAAGGGCAAAATTCTCCCAACTATAATGAGCTCTTACAGATTTTACATGGAAAAGATAAATAAAGAATAATGTCTAAATGAACTGAATATGCAGTTCATAAAAAAAGAATTCCAATAAGCACATGATTAACCTCACACATAATTAGGACAAGCAAATTAAAAATACAAAAGAGCACTTTCACTTATCAGAATGTAAGATATAAAAACTTGACAATAGCCAAGTAACACTGGGTGTTTTAAAAAAAAAACAAACTTTTATATACTATTAGTAGAGGGACAATCTTTTTGAATAATTTGACATATCTTTATAATAAAAAACACACATATCCTTTGACTAAGCAATTACACTTTTAAGAATTTAACTAAAAATATACTTTAACAAGTAGGGAAAAAAACATATATGAATATTTAAAGTGTTTTTAATAATATTCAAAAGATGAATACAAAACAAATATCCAACAAAGATCTTAGTAGGCAAAACTTATATAGTTTAAAAATTAAGTTTAAAAATTAAAGACACCTGTACACAATGACATATACAGATTGATATGGAATTCCATAATTTCAACTTACATTAAATATACAAAGTATATGTTTATACTATTGGGTTGTCGGAAAAGTCATGACGTATTTTTTCTACGTTTTTTGTTGCAAAAATGCGTCATGACTTTTCCAACAACCCAATACATATTATATATTTACACAATAAAATTTCACTTGTAATTCTTTAAATTATGTGCATTATTCTATAGAAATAAAAATATAAATAAAAAACTAATGAAAGGGTACACATGTAACTTACTCTAGTTACCTGTGGGCAATGAATATGTGGGGGTAATAAAGGAAGATTTTCTTCACTCTTTATTTTATACTCTTGTACACTGTTGTAACTTTTTAACATAAGCATGAATAATTTTTACATTAGAGCTTCTGAAAGAGAGTGGGCTGAACACGTGCATCTGATTTCACTCTATCTTGAAACTACAATCAAAGATTGTTTTAAAAGGCATAAAACCACAAAAAATAACTAGGAGAAAAGAAAACAGCAAAACATCTTATAAGCTATAAAGTAAAAAAATAAGTGGAAATTGACTCAGAAGACTCAAGATATTGAATCTTAAGCTGGCCCTGAAGAAAACTAGGGCCCAGCTTGAATCATACCAAGAATCCTACAAGACTCAAGAACTGGTGGCACAAACTATCTTTGGAAGTGGAAGCTGGAAGTTGGGAAGGATAGAAAATGATTGGTGGAAAGTGATTGAACAAGCAATAAATCTCTCGATCTCCTGTTCCTCTCCATGCCACTGAGCAACCACCATTCTCCCACCCTACAGGCGACTAGTCTTCTCTGGGGAAGGTGAACCACAGGCCACCTGAACCAGCTTCAGGCACAGTAAGGGTTAAGGGTATCACCAAAAGCAAGGGATTGAAGGAACAGTTGCAAACTGAACGTTGAGATTCCCAGTTGTTAGCTCCCAGAATATTGTTAGCCAATCAGGAGACTGAAAGAGTCCCTGGATAATCTCACAAGCCCAAGAGGAAAATCCTAAAGATACTATAGCAGGGTACCAATTCTAAAGATACTATGAGGATACCAATAACTGGACCAGCTAATTTACTCTATTGTTCACTTCATATTTTGCAAGTCACATTCAACTACATAGACCTTCCTATCAGCACTTTAGTCCTCTACTCTTAAAAAATGATCAGGCATCAGATAAAAAAATTATAATTATGAAATGCAAAGACCAAAACAATCAATCAATCAATAAAACCCAAAGGTAATAGAGCCTATACAGATAAAATAAAACTTCTAAATAATAATAATAATAATAATAATATCCTCAGTTAAGCAGAATATTGCAACCCTGAAACAAAAATGGGATGCTATGGGGAAAAAACGAAACATTGAGAGAACAAGAAGAAAACAAGAAATTCTTAGAAATTAACTATGATAGTAGAAATAAAAAACTCAACACAAAAGTTACTAGATAAAAGTGATAAAATATTCAAGAAGGTAAAGCAAAAGTATAGAGATAGAAAATACAGAAGAAAGTTAGAGATCAGTCCAGAAGATTCAATCAATTCAAATAACAGAGTTGCAGAAAGAAAAAAAAAAATTCAGGAAAATTTCCCAGAACTTCAGGATTTAAGTTGCCAGATTGAAAGGACTCAATACAATGAGTGAAAACAGAACCAAATTATGGAAAATCATCATGATATTTTAGATCATTTAGGGACAAAGAGAAAATCTTCCAATTTCCAGAAGGAGGGGTGGGGAAGAAAAGGAAAAAAAGAAGTCACACAAAGAATGAGGAATCAAAATGAGTTCAGACTCTTCAACAATAACAGTAGAAGCTAGTAGACAATGGAGTAACACAAAATTCTAAAGAAAAATAATTTATAGCCTAGAATTTTATACCTAAGCTACCAAAAAATGTGAAAGGAGTAAAAAGACACTTCCAGACATCAATGTTTCGAAACATTTACTTCCAATACCTCTTCTCAGGATGCTTCTAGAGGACGTACTCCACACTCCACCAACATGAAGGCATAAACCAAGAGGAAGACATGGAATACAGAAAAACGGAAGATTCAATTCAAGGGAAGAAAAGGATACTTAAAAAGGAAGCTGTACAAAAGGTATAAAGGGCAACCACTCCAGGTTGAATGAGGTCAGACGGCTCAAGAAAATCAAATTAATAGAATATTTGATGAAAGTAAATATCTTGAGACAGGACAACTTATGGTTTAGTTAAGTTCACATCATGAGTAGTATATATAAAATGGACTAGTGCTAACATCATATTCTAGAGAGATCACTATTAAGGAATGAAGTAAATTATGCAGGAAAATAACAAGTGAGGTCCAACTTAACAAAAGTTGAGTTTAAAGTGTATCATAAAGCACCTCTTCTCCAGAAAGGCCATGTACGCGTTATGCTGGGAAGACACATACAGGAAGCTGGACTGTTTGTATACATGTGGGGCCAGGAAGGTTCTGGCCAACAGTCACTGAATGATACATTCTAACCAAAGTAAAGAACTAAAAATAAACATTTTTAACATAATTTATGAATAATAACCTCTTATAATTATTGTCATTGGAGAGGCAAGAAAGGGATTAATTTTTCACGCTCAGATATGATGTAAAGTTTAAGTCAGCAACAGAAGTAGACTGAAAACCACAAGTGCTCTGCAACCAAGTCCTGAGTGCCCAAGCTGGGTTGTTGTCAAGTTTCTTTCTTTCAGTGAAGCTGCAAGAAAGCTGAGGACAAGGGTAAAGGAGCTGCCCCTGGAGTCACTCCTGTTCAGCTCCATTTCCCGCAGCAAACTTCTCTGGGGAAGAGCCTTAGAACAGACCGACCTGCGCGCACAGGACGGGAGCGCCCCAGCCTAAGCTCCATACTGAAAACCTGGGCTTATGCCAATCTGGCTAAGAAACTATTCCCACCTACAAAATTCTAGAATCACTGTCCTTTCAACATTGAGTAAGTGCTATTATCCCTTAGCAGTTCTGTGTCACTTTCTTACAAAATAGTTCTTGAGCAAAGTTAATTGGTTTCTGTGACTTGCACTATTTTCTAAGATTTGAATTTGAAGTTCTATCAAAAGAAATGTTTATTTTATTTCAGCATCAGCCCTCTGGGGTTCCTCTATTATTATCATCATGAAAAATACCTATTTGTGCCTATTCCATGGCACTGTCCATGCAGCCATATGATCTAGGCTTACCACTTTCACAGCCTCCCAACAGTGTTCCTTACCATTTTCTGAATTTCACATAATTGGCACAGTCTGTACCCGGATATCACTCACCATGTGGTACATACAGCAGAAGCTTATTTAGCATAATCTAATGATAAAGAGCAGACATATGTTTGATGGTGGGTTCCAAGAGCCAGCTAACTAATCTATGAAGATTTGGTTTAAAGCATTTAGACTTCTTAATGTTTTGGTTTGTTACCGTATCATTTCTAATTTTCACTTTTCAAACCAATCTTTAGGCACATTCTTCTGTAAACATTAAAACAGTAACAAGGAACAGCTTCTCAATGAATCATAAGTTCCTTTAGTAAAGTATATTTTGAAACTCTAAAATAAAGGTCATTCTTGCTCAACATATTGGTTACTTTTAAAATGAATTAGATTCTCTACCATATGATCTCACTTATATGTGGAATCTAAAGAAAAAAAAGCAACTCATAGATACAGAGAACAGATTGATGTTTGAAGTGGGTGAGATGGGTGAAGGTGGTCAAAATGTAAAAACGTCCAGTTATAAAATAAATAAGTTATTGGGATGTAATGTACAACATTGTGAAGACAATTAATAACACTGTATTGTATGTTTACAAGTTGCTGATAGAGTAAATCTTAAAAGTTCTCATCATAAAAGGGAACCCTCATGCACTATTGGTGAGATTGTAAATTAATGCAGCCACTATGGAAAACAGTATAAGGATTCCTCAAATAATTAAAAATAAGACTACCATATGACCCAGCAATTCCACATCTAGGTATTTATCTGAAGATAATGAAAACACTCATTCAAAAAAATATATGCACCCGCATGTTCGCTGCAGCATTATTTACAATAGCCAAGATATGGAAGCAACCCAAATGTCCATTGATAGATGAATGGATAAAGAAGATATGGTACATACACACACACACACACACACACACACACAATGGTATATTACTCAGCAATAAAAAAAGAATGAAATCTTGCCATTTATGACAACATGGATGGACTTGCAGGGTATTATGCAAACTGAAATAAGTCAAACAAGGAAAGACACATACTGTATGATTTCACTTATGTGTGGAATCTAAAAACACAAAACAAATGAACAAACAAAACGAAATAGAAACAGACTCATAGAAATAGAGAACAAACTGATGATTGCCAGAAGAAAGGGAGGTGAGGGATGGGTGAAAAAGGTGAAGGGGAATAAGAGATACAAACTTCTGGTTATAAAATAAATCAGCCACGGAGATGTAGTGTATAGCACAGGGAATATAGTCAATAATACTGCAATAAACTTTGTATGGTGATAATTACAACAGATCATTATGCTATATACCTGAAACTAATAGATTATATGTCAATTATATATCAATGAAAAAAGAATTAGATTCTGACCATTAACCCGAGTTTTTAAAATGTATAAATACACAAACTTTATGAAATGCAACATCAAAGTCAAGTTTAGAGAGGCAACAGATAAAGTAGAAATCATAGCAGCATGAAATGATGCTGCCATCTTGATGCCGTGGTGACTTTGACTAGCTCTTTTGATTCCCAACTGATCATTTTTCCAGCTTTGCTCATATTTTCTCCTGCAAAAAACAATAATCTCTGACATCTGTTAGTGAATCCTTTCAAGTAGAAAAGGCAAGGTGCTTGGACATCTGTAGCTTGAAGAAGCACGGACTGTCAGGCACTGGGTCAAGGATACAAAATAACAAATGGATTGACATCTACTCTGTAACCTCAAAAAAGTCCATCATAAAACTTTCAACTGTCAGCACGGCCTCTGCTATTGCCAGCAAAACAGCAATCATGCACCAAGTAATGGTACAACAGACACAATGACCCCATAACCAACTCACACATTTTTTTTCCTAGGGATTATCTTTCCCAATTCTGGCTTGTTCTTTGTTTTCAAATTTAGCTGAAGCACATGGAACAGTTACATAAGTCCTCTTGGGCACTGCAAGTATTCTCAGAAGTACTTATCGTTCTAGTAAAACTTTGTAGGGGAAAAGGCCTAAAAACAGTAAAGACTAACGAAACACTGATCGTAACTAAAATTCAGGCTTATAAAAATTGTTCTACAATAACATTACGACATTGGCAAGGATTCACATTTGGTCAAAAAATAAAATTTGTTTATGTAGGGACAGCCAGGAAAAACATGCAATGGTAGTCAAAACTACTTCATCAAAAACGGTAGCGTCCAAAAGGGTAGCTACTAAAAACCCACTCAAGGACCCTGGACTAAATACTAATTCTGTCACTAGCAAGTTACTCTCTCTCTCTCTCAGAAGCATCATTTTAGCCAAGGTAATGCAAGCTGCTGTAGCATTATATATAGACAGCAGTATACATAATTTCCCATCAGTAAGAAGGTGATAAGCATGGTATCGGCTCAATCTCATAAAGTTTTTATAAGGAACAAAGGGTCTAACGTAGGTGCATGACTTCTGCAATAGATGTAGCAATTATAAATATAACTAATTGATACTGCTTTTAAATCTTAGCCATATTTTGAAGTTATTTCCCTAAGTGTGAAAACCATGTCTTGTTATTTTTATGACAAACTATGAAGCTTAAATGATGAAAATCAAAATAATGCTTTTAACTTACTTCAATATCTAAGCTGGTTTATATAGTAAGACCACCACAAATAGTATAGCAGCAGATTCTTCTTCTGATTAAGTCAAATAAGAAGCTGTTTTGAGTCAAAAGAAATCAGGCATCTCTTTTTAAAAGTAGCTAGTCTAAGTAAATTTCCTGTTTTGATGATGGTCCCCATTTTGAGGCTGAAACAGAATATCCTGTATTATAAGAGAAGAGGCTCTATGTGTTGCTGTAGTTAACAGAAGAGGGCAAACTTTACTTTTTACAATGCAAACATTGGAGTAACATTAATTTGTGCAATGAAAATATCTGAGGATTCTCTTATGTTATCTGCAAGATTTTACAAAATAAAATAACAATAACAATAAAACCCTGAGATGTTTTCCTATAGTATCTAGTGTCCTCATGCTGAGGAACATTAGATTTAATAGATTTGATTTCTATCACACTTACTTTTTTGTGATAAATGCTACAGAGTCCTCTCTCTATGTCAGGCAATTTACGTAGATGATTTTCTATCTGACCGAACACACTGGATTCTGAATGGAGAACTTCAGACACAGCATCAAGCCGAGCATTCACTTCCCTGTAGAACAAAGTAATAGCACTATTCAGATGTGTTTTGAATTCAGAATGTAGACATTACTCACGCTAAAGCCCAACATTGTGTGAGGCGAACGTGATAACCACAATAAGGAAACAAGCCCAGCGCTGTGATGCACCACTTAGAAAAACACAAGGGAGACTCCTCCTCCACATCTCGGGCCCTTTCCTGACCCTCATGATTTGAATCAAAGAGCAGAAACCATACAAGAAGAGTCATTAGGTGGGGCAGGATGGCTCGTCAGGGTTTCCTTTCTTCCTGGGTCAATACCCAGAATACGCTTCCCAGCCTACCTTGAAGCTAGGTATAATCATGTATCCACGTTCTAGTCAATGATATGGGGGTCGGAGCGATTAAGCCACTTCTAGCCCATAAACACCTCCTGTGAGAGCTTTCTCCTTCACTCTCTTCCCCTTTTGCCAGCAATATGTTGAGCTCAGGGCAATCTTGTTGACTCCATCAGCCTGGGTCAGTAAATGGAGCAAAGAAACCCTCCCGTCCCACATCCACTACCAACTGGATTTTACAAGAGTAAGAAATAAACTTTTATTGCATTTAAACCAATGAAATTGAGGATTTATTTGCTACAGTTGTTTGCATCACCTTGGCTACTATAATAGGTGTACGATGGGCAACTATATTTTCCTCTCTGAAATAACTATCTCAGTCAAAAAACAATTCATTCAGTTAACCAACTGTTTGAAAAAAAACATGGTGGCAGTGGTTGCATCAATCAACTCTGACTGAAATTGGATTACGCAGACCGAGCAAAGACGGAATCGCAATAGAAAATACAAAGGACGGGACATCAGGAGACATGGGAGACCAGGGCTGCAGGATTTTATCAATGGCCACATCCTAAGTGATGGGCTACTTGGGAAGAAATGATGAGGCTCTGCCAGCTTAAAGTGGAAACCCAACTGACTAAATGTGTCCTAAATGAGCTGTGGCCCATCTAGTACCTACAAACACCAAACACCTATCCTAGGTATAATGGCCATACGTGGTATTAAAGACTGAGATAAGCAAACCTATCTAGTGGATAGCAGGCCCTCAGTAAATGGATTTTTTTTAATGAATGAATGAATGAATGAACAAGCAAGCAAACGAAAGAATGAACTGACATTCTGGGGAAAGGGGAGACATCAGCTACTGAATACACATTTGTTTATCAAAGTTCTGTTGATATCACATACATTGATGTGAAAGGGCAAACCTTACATCAGAATCCTGCCTGGATGACTATTAAATTGAGTACTTTGCAATTAACCGAGTGCTTTTATCTTTAGTATCCTTGTAACTATCCTGTGAGGCCGTGCCTATTCATGATACAGATACTAATTTCAGGTCTCATTTCTCTCCATTCATCTCTTGCAAGAGAACAGGCATTTGGTTTCACATGACACATTAGAACAAGCCAGGGTTCTGTAGATGCCTTAACTGGCTCCTCCATTCTCAGAATTTAAGATTCTCTCTTAAATCCATCCATTTCTCTCCATCTCTTCTGCCATTATACTAGTCTAAGTAAAAGATCATTTCTCACAAAGACTACTAACACAGCCTCCGAACTTCCCTCCCTACATCCACTTCTCTTTTTCCAATCCATTCTTCACACTGTACCCTGAGAGGTCTTCCTAGAACCCAAATTTGTTTATGTCATACCTCAGCGTTAAGCTCATCAACGATTTGACATTGATCTTAGGTTCAAATCCTTCAAGACAACTGATCCCTGCTTACCTATCAAGTCCTACCTGTCACTCACCTGTCACTCTCTTCCTCTTAGTCTAAGTTTCAGTCAGACTGAATTTCTTCCAATATCTTGGTCACTCCAAATTCTCTAATATCAGGGCTTTCTAGTTTACTGTTCACTCTATCTTAAGACTCTTCCTCTGTCCTACCACCTACCAGCTCCACTTTGTTTGGCAAACTCCCAATCACCCTTCCTCTGGAAAGACTTTCTAGACGCATTAGACCAGGTTTAATCCTTTGCCAATCTTTTTTTTCTGGGAACCGTAATTGTACTTACTTCTTCACTGCCTTTTCCACTAGACCGTAAGCTCAAGGAGCTTTATTCCCACAGTTCTGGGAACACAATATATGTGCTCAATAAATAGTTGTTGAATTCAATTCAATTCAATTCCAAAGACTATATATAAAGTAAATCAAAATGAGGTGAAAAAAATAAAAAACTACATTTTCTTTGCATAGAATTGTTGTGATAAAATAAATCAATGTTTTACCCTAACGTTTACCCAAAATGTTATACAAATATAAAGTTTTATTTTAATAACTCACTCCTGCATAAATGAAAGATGACACCAATTGGAATAGACTAAGATGATGTTACAGATGGTGTGAGGACAGATAAAATAATGCCATCTGTGAATGTATAAGACAGCTGACAAAGATAGCTATTCTCAAAAATTATAAAGGCTGTTGTCTGAGATATGAAAAGATAAAAGCAAAAGAAGTTAACGAAAACCCGAATCATATTTACGAAGCGCACCAGAAGCCCACCAGAAGATTTTTTTTAATAGACAAAAAACTATAAATTTCTCAGAAAGAGAATGAAAAGGGTGTGCTAAATTGGTTTGCAATTTGGGAAAATACAAACGTAGTGGCTTTTATTTTAGCCTAGTGACAGCACAGGCAAAAGTATGTTGAGCATGATCTTTTTGGTTTTAACCCAGCCTTCATCTGTCAGGGAAGAAAGGGCTCACAGGTTAATAGTAACGCAGGCTGAGCAGGCAGATTCCCTCAGTTCAAATCCAGGCTCTACCATTTGCCAGTTATTTAGCTTTGCCCTGCTTTCTCCATCTATAAATGAGAATTAATAATGGCCCCTAACTCATAGAGTTGTTACAAGAATTCAATGAAATAATACATGTGAAGCACTTAGCATAATGCTTGGTACACAGTAACTCCTCAATATATGTACATTTGTAACTGTTACCATCATCATTTTTATGGTGATCATGATTGGCTTGCAAAATTTGGTAGATTCTACAAAGAACAGCATGGGGGAGTGGAGAAATAGTACCCAAAATATAATCTTGTAAATAACTGTGTGTGGACAGAACTTAAGACACAGACATGCAAAAAGGTATTTTGTGTAAAGTGAATAACAAGGAAGGATTAGTTAAGGAAAGCTAGTTCTGGGAGCTCAAGTGCTAAATCTGACTGCTAGTAGCGATTTGCAGTGCTACATTGAGATTGGTTACAGGCTGCACTGAGAAAGAATGCCATAACCAACTACAGATGTCTAACATGGGCAGGGAGAAGGTGAAAAGGTGTGTGGTACTGTTTACTACAAATCTCTCATCATTGGGGCAGTTATAATTCCACTTATATCTTTTATAAGCATATCAGAATGTAAAGGAATAAAAATGACTTCTAATCAAGTTTTTAAAATAAAACAGTTTACATACCTTAGAACTGTTTAATTAGCAGGAATAATACGACTTTCCAAATAACTATAATAAAACAATATGTCAGACCACTAGAATACAGAACAATTACTTTGGTGCAATCAGTGAGAAAGATTTGGTGATTGTGACAGTCAACAAAACTGAAAATAGCACTGTCAATTAGATGATGATAAAGATACCATCCCAAGATGCCCTATAGAATCTACAGTTGATCTTACAATATGATACATTCTAAATTAATGAAAAGGCACCTGAGTCATTTCATTCCATGTAACAAAAAACAATGGACTTGAGGCTCTGGGGATGACACAGATTCTTCTTTACCACCAAACCCCAAGGACTAAATGTGGGTGTCACTGATATCCTTCACATTTGAACTGGATGATGATGTTAGTATTTGTTGTGTGCGGCTATCACTCAGAAACACAGCTCTTGCCACTGAATGGACATGTCATTGAGTCTGTACCTGCTGGATACTATCCATGGAGATGCCTCTATAATTCTAACACAAGGTTATTTGGGAGGAAAAAGTTAAAATACAAATTGCTGGGGAGAGGTTGTTATTTTTGTTTGTTCTAATATTTTCTGAAAGGTTTGCTATAAAGACAGAATATATAAAATGAATAAATGAAATTCAGACATTAACACATTGGTCATGAGACATGGCTCAACCAACTACCTAAACAGATTTCTGCAGAAACATAAATCATAAGCCCTTTCCTAGGGTCTAAGCATTATTTCTTGGATCTACCTGGCTTCACCTTTCACATACACCATTCATTCAATTACTGAGTGCTTTCAAAGTACCAATTGTAGAAGGAGTGGAAGATGTGCTAGCAGAAGCTAGAACGGTAAGCAGGGACCTGGTCACGAGAGTAATGCAGACCACACAGGGGCTTTGACTTTATCCTGAGAGCAATGGGAACCAATGGCTAATGTTTAAAAGGACAGAAGAACAGTGGTAAGAAAACCGGTTAGAATCAGTAATCCAGGGGAGTGATGTTAGTGATCTCAACTGAGGTAGAGAATACAGGAATAAAAACAGCCCAGAGTTTCAAGAGATATTAAGGACATAAAATTAATAAGAGTTGTGTTAAGGGAGGGAGGGAGAAGGAGGAACTTAGGTAACAACTTGGGTAACGAGATGCCATCCATAAATATCATGCTCAAAACCTTACAAAGCATACAAGAAAGATATTATCTTCTTTATCAAGTTACACTCTAAAGAGCTATTCTGCATATTTACCTTGTTACAAATTGCAAATCACCCAAGGAGCTTTTAAGGATTTTTATTACTCGTATTTTAAAAAGGTACCGTTTTTACCAACAGACAATTCACCTTTTCAAAATATTAAATAGAACAATTTTCTGACAGCTATTCTCTATTATTAGTACAGGTCACAATCTGAGTCTTTGAAAAGAGTGTGATATGATTTCTGCTTTTGGTAATGGTGGGCCTGGGTCATTTCAGACCATCCTCCCCACTGAGAACAATTTCAAATTTCAAATAAAACATAAAAACATGTTCATAAAAGCATCAAAGAACAAATTTTT